GGTGCCACAAAGCTAGCAGGGAGTAGCCAATACTTTGTAAGATAGAGCTGAAATTCAGAGGATTCTTGAAAAATTGGAGAACTGAGCTGTAGACAACAAAATGAAATTCAACAAAGACAAACGTAAGGTGCTACACATAGGGAAGAAAAATCAAATGCACAAATACAGAATGGAGAAAAAATGGCTTGGCAGTGGATCACAACCTCAACATGAGTAAGCCATGTGATGCTGGAAAAAAAAAAAAAAACACACCACAAATGCAATTTTAGGTTGCATTAAAAGAGGCATAGCATGCAAGTCACTGGAGGTGATAGTACCACTCTACTCACCAATGATTAGGCCTCAGCTGGAGAAGTGTCCAATTTTGGTCACCAAGGAATAGAAAAAATATAGAGGAACTGGAAAGGATCCAGAGATGAACAACAAGATGATCAAAGGGATGGAATGCGAGCCATATAAGCAAAGGCTGAAGGAACTGGATATGTTTAGTTTGGAAAAGAGAAGATTAAGGAGGGACATGATAGCAGTCTTCCCATACCTGAAAGGCTGCCATAAAAAAGATGGAGAAAAGTTGTTCTCTCTTGCCACAGAGGGCAGGACAAGAGGTAATGGGTTCAAACTAAAGCATAGCAGATTTAAATTAAATCTCAGGAAAAACTTCCTGAGAACAGTAGGACAATGGAATAGACTACCGAGGGAGGTTGTGGAAGCTTCTTCACTGAAGGTTTTCAAAGGAAGGCTGGATAGCTATTTGTCCTGGATGGTTTAGACACAGCAACTCCTGCATCTTGGCAGGGGGTTAGACTAGATGACCCTTGAGGTCCCTTCTAACCCTTTGATTCTATGAGTATTTCCACTAAAGCCCACTCCCAAGAACCTGGAATGGATTCCTGAGCTTCACCATTCCTCTTCTGCTAGCAAATATCCATGAAACTCCCTGACAAACAGTGTATCACCCCCTCTGATGGTTCACACAGAGGATGACAACCTGTTATTACAGTCAGTTACTCTGATAGCTCAAGTGGGAGAGGTCTATGCAGTAGATCTAAAGGTTCCGACCCTCCTGATGAACCATGTGGGTGTCAATACGCTGCCATATGATGGAATTTGTGTCTTTTCAGTTTGCTTTTTTTAAATCTAGGAAATTACACACACAAAAACCAAGTTAAAAGAAGGTTTGTTAGGTTGCAAAGTCAAGAACTCAAAAGTTAGGAAAT